CTGATGTGGGGCTTTCACACACCGTTTAATCTGTCTCTGTATATCATAAATTATTTCTGAACATTTTCAGTGATTTACAGGTATACATAGACTTTCAAAGTCAGTTATCTGCTCTATGTTACTTCTTAATCACACTGAAAAATGACAGAAAAATGTTTGCATAAATGACTAGAGAAGAGTGGGAAAACCTCACAGCTCACAGGTACAGTAGCTAGACTGTGGACCTTGTGTATGTTGGCTGATTTATTTATAGACCTAAAAAATACTGACAGCTGAGGACACACTGCCACCAACAGGAAGCTTGAAATATAGCAAAAATAAATTAACATAACTTTGTGTTTCATGTACAGACAAGCTGACAAAATCAATTGAAAATGCTGATGTAGGGCCTTTACATTATTTCATTTGTGTCTGTAGTTCATAAATTATTTCTCAATATGTTTAATAATTTACAGGCAAACATAGACTTTCAATGAAATGCCTTTTTTCGAGTATATAAATTAGGGAAAATAATTTTTGCAACCTTAAACTGTAGCTTTATACATTGTTAAATTGATAATAATAAATCAGCAGGATACCATGCATATGGGGTAACAATGGTTTAAAAAGTAAACAAAGGTGCTAAACAAGGAAATTAATGTTTAGAAAGTCTGCCGAAAGTAACCAAAGTGAACCTGGACTCAAATTTTGCGTAATATTTGGCCACGCTAGCTGCAAAACATTATGTACAGAGGATGAAGCCTACTGACTTTGGTCATCCTCTGATTTTTCCTGTCGCCCCACCAGCAGGTCAAAGTTTCCACTATTCACTATTAGACTTCATAATCAATAAAGACAACAGTTTGGCCAACTGCATGTTTTCTGCTCACGTATTTTTAATATTTCCTAGCACAGAAGTCCAACCATGGGTCAGACAGGGTTTTGTGATGCATATAAAAAGTTTACACATTAACAGTTATTGTAAATTATGGAAGTGTAAGACACATACAGACACAGTGGCAGTGAATGGCTGGTGCGGCTGCTCTGCTTATTCCCAGATGAACTTCAGAGACAGGTCACCGAGTTTCTCCTGAAGGAGTTGATCCACTCTTTCACTCTGAGCGGCAGTAAAGGTGTTCTTCCAGTCACCGATCTTACCTGTAATGACAAAACAAGAATAAGAGCTGATATCTGTTTACATGTTTCTGCACACGAGCTGCAGTTATGTTAGATTACCTTTGCGCATGAAGTCTCCCTTCAGCTTCTCTTGTGGCAGAAACTCGTAGTTTGCTTTTGAGTCTTTCTTCATGTTCTTGAATGTAGATTTTTCTTCAACTTGCTCAATGGCTGCTTCACTCAGGTTCTTCCCTAAGAAAATGCAGATCTTAGTAACTGCCGCCTTCAGGTCCTAAAAGAGAAGCAGAAACCCAAAAGAGAGCAAGTTCAAACTCTGAAAAATAATTTATTATCACTTTTATGAGAATGAAACTTTCAAATGAAAGTGGCCCTTTTTAATTCATGGTATGAAATGGATTTGAAATGTGTCCCTACCCTTCCTCACATCATTTTTCAAACCAAGCTACACAAAAATGTTGAAGAACCGCAGTAAAAAATCCCTCATCTTACCAAAACCATGTTCTCATAGTTCAGGAAGAGGATGTTGTACTTGTCTCTCTTTGAATGCCAGACCCTGATGTGGTTCGAACCAGGATGATCCTACAACTGTATAAAGGTATAATGTATCCCTTAACTTAACATTTTCATTTAAAATTAAGTGTCTGTGGAATATATGTATCCCAATAGCATGCAAATACAACCAACACTGAAGTTTAAGTACTGCAGTCAGGTCCACCACTTTAGCACACATGATTCGACTATCAGTCGACTATAGGCAGGACTTGATGATTCTGTAAATTCTTATTCGGGGACAGCCCTAATCTCCAGTCAAACCAGTAGTTCAATCAATACCCAGGCCTACTTTTTGTAACCAGATCGCGGCAAACACATAAGCAACACACCGAAGGAAAGAGAAAAACACCCCTTTTATTTCCATATGTGCCTGCACCATAATCTGTATAATAGAATGCCTGCAGGCGCCGAGTCCATGCGTGATTTTAACAGCCGCTCAACTTCTACTGTGGTATCAGGGATGTTCGTCACTGTTACAAGTTTATCACCACAAGCTTGGCTTTTATTGGTTTCATCTTATGGTATCATTTAACACTTCTCTGTGCATTTTTATTTGCTATTCACATCACTTGTCTTGATTTCAGTTGGTTTGATAGGCAGATTCTCTTTTCCTCGGTTTGTATCTTTAGTGTAGTTTAGTGACTTGTTTAAACAGACTGCTTTCTCGTTTTATACTTGACTGTCGTCTTTTTGGAGGTTTGGGACACAGCACTGAAAGAAAAAAACGCGGAGATCTTTCAGTTCAGCTCGAAAGTTAACAAAACAATTTTTCCTTGTTTACTTTCAACACATGTATCAAAAAATACCTTAAATTCGTTTTCCACAACTTATTTTGTCACTAAACTATTTCACACCTCCTCTCTCATTCAAATAAAAAAGCTCTAGTCTTTCCCCTTATAGGCTAATACCGCCAGTGAAGATGACCTAATTAGGATGAGGAGCAATGTGATACAATTTCCGAATACTTTTTATGTAGAAGTTATTTAAAAAATAAAATAGATCACCTAGCTTGTCCACAACAACAATAAAAATAATAGGCTACCAATGAATTACTATGGCTTCAACAGGTGGCATTTTATGCAAGGTATCAAATGAAATACTCAATTGGTATCTGTATTACTTTAAGGGTACTTGTTTTGGTACTGGTATCGTAAAAATTTCATCGTCACAGGGACCCTTGCGTGCTTGCAGACGTGTAAAGTATAATCCTTGCTTTAGTTTTTTAGTGCATTTAACTCAGATATGGTGGCCAAGACGTGTCGAGCAAAATGCATATCCAAGATGCTTTGCAATTCCAAAAAGACAAGCTCACTAAGATTTTAACTGTCAGTATTAAATTATTGATGAAAATGTTCATGATCAAATTCTCTGTATCTGCAGGTACTGTCAATACAAACACACAATCCAGACATTTCCAACATAACATTAAAAATTGTTTCTAATCTTTCTGTCAATTCTTCATAATCAGATGGTTATCATCATCCAGACTCTGAGGTAACTCACCATTGCCCGTCAAATACGCCTCAAAAAAGTGCTCAAAGTTCTTGGGTGTCTCCAGGTCGCTGGAGGCTTTGCTGAAGTGGTAAAAAGAGACGATGTTGTCCTTTGGGTTTCGCATCACATAGATAATCTGACATAAAAACAAACAACAATCAGCCCATGCCAAACTCCATTCAATTAATTCAGTCTTTAATGATACCCTAATTTGTTGGCACATACAAAATATGGAAGGCCATTCCTCCCAGGAACAATAGAATGATTGCTTAATCACAAATTTTGAACTTGTATCTCACAATTACAGCTGTAAGGATTAATCAATTAATTAAATAGTTTATCGACAGAAAACATTTTTACTATTTTGATAATTGAAAAATAGCATAACAGTACAGTAAGTATAAAAAATATTTTCAGACTTATCACTATTTATTTTTCTTTAAATTTATCACTTAACTTTCTAAATATATTTTTAAAGTTGTATTTTCCTGGCAGGATTGGGCTTCCATAAAACAGTGACCTTAGCCTTCTTATCCTTCACTCCCGGAGGCATAAGAGCCGGGGTGAGGTGAGAGGTGAAGAGTCGTGGAGAGGGTCGTAGGGCATAATCTTCTCGACCTTCCGTGTATTCCAGCCACGGCATCTGCTCAAAGTTGTTTGGATATTCATTCAGATCCCCGTCTAACTCACAGATGGAGATGATGATCTGTTGAGTCCATATAGTTCCTGTATAGGGACATTATGTGTTTCCTTACCTGATTTTTAAATATGCTTCCAGCCAGGACAAAAGTGTAAAGGCAAATAATGTGATACGGAAGAGTTTGTCTCACTGACCTGACTTTGGATAAGTGACGAGGAATATGTCACTGTCTCGAATTTCAAAGCTCTGGAGTGAATCAATGTACTCTGCATTTGCGTCACCGATGGCAAAGTTGTAGTTTTTATACCTGCAGAGATACTTGGTGATCTGCTCCATGTTTCATCTGTATCACTGAGAATAATAATCAAATAATCAATAATAAGCAAAATGTGTTTGCATAATGGGCAAGAGAAGAGCGGAAAATCCTCATAGGTACAGTGGCTGGACTCTGGACTTGATTTATGCATGTTATTGGCTTCTTCATGTATAAGCCTGTGAAATACTGACAGCTGAGCACACGCTGCCATCAACAGGAAGCTTGAAATATAGCAAAGTGCTATATTTTTTTATTCTAAAAACCCTCTGAAATCTGTCTATTCAGACGGAGCATGTTTTGCTTAAAGTATTTTTTTGTTACAACCTTGACCTGTAGCTTTATAATTGATTTACATAATTGATATAATGCTACTCAATACACAAGCACCAGTATAAACTGGAACCAAAGGCTGCTTTACCAAAAACAGATTTAATTTACAATACATCAGTAAGAAGAGAGGGGAGTAAATTGTATAGTTTGTTCTAGGGCTGACCCCGATTAGTCAAATATTCGATGCTTCGATGGGCAGAGCCTGATTCAATCAAGTCAATCTCACAATCTTCGCAGCGACACAGGGATCATGCCATTTTGGCAATATGAGGCATAAACATTAATGATCCCAGTTTACACTTATAGGACTTTTTTTTGTATAACTGAGATTCACATATGAAGGAGGAAACAATGGAGATTGAGGCTCACGGTATGTCTGTTCCATGTACAACTATGCCAAGGTATAGACAGTTTTCAATTCTTTAATCCTTTATTTATTATTATTATTATTATTATTGTTTATTCTGTAAAATATCTCATCTATTTGATGGACTGCCACGTTTTATACAAAATTCATAATTCCTGGATAACGAATCCTGTTGGCAATCATCTGAATCCTGTTATGACCTGGCTGGTGTGGGCAAGGAAGACAACATAAACCAGTTAGATTCTCTAAAGAAAAGTTATTTATTTGTAGGGTAAGGTTGACTGTAACTGTAACAGAAAAAGGGCCGATTGGATGCTGCTTAAACCAATGAAAACAATATTACCAAAAAGAAATCTCTACTGAGACACACTGTTAGCAATTGATGTAATTTATACAGTAAATCTTACAACAATGTATTGTATTTGTGTTTTTACTGTAAGTGGCAATGCATCATGGGAAATTAATGGACAGTCCTGTATTATTATTGTAACTACACTGTACACGCCGAGTTTTACAATGGTTTTACATGCACCGCGTTGCATCATGGAATCACCGCGATCGGAATTTTGAATTTTTAGGCGGTTAGTTCTAAACGGACATTCGAGAACGGACATCGTTCAAGAAGAAAAAAAAGAAGCAAACATTCTGGGACGAAGGTAAGTTAACTTCACGTTATGTAACTTACTGTTACCCTTTTTTATATCATATAACGTTATTATTTCTGATAATCTGAGTGGATGGTGACGGTTTCGTCTGCTTTGATTTGCTAACATAAAGTCGGCTGTCCCCTTGTGGTTTAGCTAAATTGGAAATAACGTTAGGGCATGGGCAGAAATAGGTGCTTTTATGATAAGGTAGCTAACATTATTAACGCGCTTCTTCCTCCATCAGTCCCATGAAATCAGGTATGTACTGGTAGTTGCTAACGTTAGCTACCTTGTTCATCACAAACTGATGCTATTTTTAATCTGCCTGAAGTAACGTCAACATGGTTTTTTCACTGTTTGGATGGATCGGCTAGCTAGCGCGACTGTCATTTAGGGCTGTCATTTAGAGAAAGAGCGCCTGCGAGACGAAAGTGAGAGTGAGGTCTGCTCTGCGGTCTTGGCGATTAGTTGAGATACGCTGCCAAATAGGTTTAATCCTAAATAAACTACCTATAACGTTACAAGTAGTTATGTCTCTTGGTATTAATTTCTGCTGTAATTGACGTAATGTGCAAAATGCGCAACCAGATGTTCGAATATATGTGGTTTTTTTTGGAGGGAATAACGTTATTCGAACGTCAGTATTTGAGCAATTTTTCTGTTTGTAAGTTTTTTATTGCGCTCTTGACTTCTGAGAAGAACGTCACGTCTGCCTCCTGTCAGTGAGTTAGCCGTAAAAAGGTAGCTTCTATGTTTGCTATCTTCTTATAACTGTTAAAGCATATCAAGAACAGATTTTATAACATTATCGTATATATTTCTATCGGGGTTTTTTTGTCTGTTTTGCCGAACATTTTCAGACAACCACCACGTGTTGTGAGGGTGAGCTCGACCAACAGCCAACTAAAGTTAGCTAGCTGCTAGCAAGCTTCACACAATTCCAAAATGTTCACTTGCAAGTTTAGCACATGTGGTAAGGAATTTAATAGAGTTTGTGAGTTTACTCAGCACATTAAGTTGCATAGTAATAGTGCTAATTACAGATATCAGTGTGGTGTGCCTGAATGCTCCAGACAGTATGTTAAAATTCCTGTACTTAAAGCTCACATGTACAGAGACCACAAAGCAGATGTGCCTTTGAGGAATAGTCAGCGACCATGTACTCCTATACAATGTGACTTTTGTGCAGTAAGGTGTGAAACATCATCTTTACTAGTTTGTCACTTGAGGTCACATTTGCGTGAAGGGTTACACGTTGAATGCCCATTTAGAGGATGTGATAGAAGGTTCTCTGTTTTGTCGAGTTTTGCATCCCATCTTTCTAAGAAGCACCGCAATGACAGTGCTGAACATGTAGAAAACCCCTCTAATGTAGAAAGACCTGTTGCCAGTGAATCAGTGAGTGAGTGTGAACCATCTAACGTTAATTATTCTGATGATGAGCAAGAAGTACCTGTTGCAGTTGATGAATCTGTCTTTCTTCAGAATATCACACTTTTCTATCTAAAACTTCAGGCTAAACTACTATTGCCGGCTACTACAATACAAACTATTATTGAGGGATATCAAGATGTCCATCATGTCAGTCTGACAAATCTGCTTAATACCTTGAGTGAGAAACTAACTGTCCTTGGAATCCCAGAGGCCACAATTAGTAACATTATGGATGAAATGAGAAAAGATGATCTCCTCACAGCCTGTAACAGTGGGCCTTTGAGCACAGACCAGAAAAGAAAGACGGCTTTTAAAAAACATTTTAATTATGTTGAGCCGGTGCCTCAGTTATTAGGTATCAATGAGAAAGGTAAGGAATCGTTTGCCCAGTATGTGCCTATTAAAGAAACATTGGCTGCACTTTTTAAAAGCAAGTCCATGCAGGAACAGTATGCAGCAACACATTCCACACCATCATCAGAGGGTATTTTCCAAGATGTAAATGACGGGAAGGGAGCTCAGTGCAACCCTTTATTTAAAGCGGAGCCATCTTCTCTTGGTCTTATACTTTATCAGGATGCATTTGAAGTGGTTAATCCACTTGGTTCTTCTAAAAAGAAACACAAGATTCTAGCAGTTTATCTCACTTTAACAGATATTTTGCCTCATAACAGATCATCCATAGATCAAATGCAGCTTGTTCTCTTGTGTAAGGAGCAGGACTTCAAATATTTTGGGATGGACAAGGTATTTGAGCCCCTCATTAAAGACCTGAAAGCTCTTGAGGAAACTGGCATTGAGATAAATAATGGACAAATTGTCAGAGGTCGACTGTGTGCTATTTCTGGTGACAATTTAGGGTCTCACTGTATTGGCGGATTTGTTGAGAACTTTAGTGTGAGCCATTATTTCTGCAGGTATTGTGATATAAAAAGATCAATTTTTGAGAGCTCTCCATTATTATGTGGCAACAAGCGTACAGAACAGTCTTTTCTGAATCATCTACAAGAATTAGAAAACACTGGTACAAATTCTGAATGTGGTATCAAGTCAAACTCTCCTTTTAACCAACTGTCCTTCTTTCATGTTTGCCAGCCTGGATTACCCCCATGTCTTGGCCATGACCTGTTTGAAGGCATTGTTTCCTGTGACCTTAGTTTGTTGATTGGTCATCTAGTTGAGGAGAAACATTTCAACTATACACAACTGAACAGGTGCAAAGATCAGTTCAACTATCAGGGAAATGATGCCCAGGACAAACCAGCCGATGTTTCACCAGGTAGCAGAAGACTTGGTGGACATGCAGTCCAGAACTGGTGCTTCCTGCGTTTGCTCCCTCTCCTGATAGGAGATAGGATTAGGAATCCATGTGAGAATGGTGCCTGGCAACTTGTGCTGCAGCTCAGAGAAATTGTAGAGCTCATTTGTGCACCAGCAATCACTACAGATCAGGTTGCTTACCTTAAAATACTCATTGAGGAGTATATCTACTTTCGAAGGCAGCTCTTTCCCAATGAGCCCCTGAAGCCCAAACATCACTATTTACTTCATTATCCAGAGCTCATTACACACTTTGGTCCCCTTATTCGCCTTTGGACTCTCAGGTTTGAGAGTAAGCACACATTCTTCAAAAGATGTGCTAGGAAGTTACATAATTTCAAGAACATCTGCAAGACAGTCGCAGAGAGACACCAGCTCTTCCAGGCATACTTGAGTGCAGGTAAAATGTTTCAGCCGAGTGTGTTACTGGATAAAGAGATGACATTCTATGTAAATGACTACAGCGACAAAATCAGAGAGGCTGTTGTTGGTTTGCATTTTGAATCTAAAGATACAGTAGCATCTCACACAGTGACGGTGAAGGGCACATCATACAAAAAGGGCATGTTTATTTTGCTGGGGAAAACTGAAGAAGAGTTGGAGGTTGGCAAGATAGAGCTGGTCATTGTGCACCATGGCTCTGTGTCATTTGTCTCAGAAAAATATTGTTTTGTTAAGTTGAGGGACATTGGGGTCTATAGTGTTTTGGGGACACCTCAAGAGCAGTTTGTTTGCATGAGGCATGATGATCTACTGGATTATTATCCTTTGCCTGCCTACACAATGTGTGACATTACAATGATCTGTCTCCATCACTCCTTTGCAGAGACATGGCTGCAGCACAAGAGGAGCTCAGGAGGGCTGTCTTGGCAGTACTCCCGGACCTCCCCGCAGACACACTAACTACCTTGATGGCAGGCCTGGAAGAACTTGGTGTGGAGAACAAGGAGGATGTGAGCCTTCTAAGTGAAGAAAATCTTCTGCCCTTTCTCCGTGTGGTCCAGTCTAGAAAGCTTCTCCGTGCCTTTTCATCTCAAGGTAACCGTAGGTTGGGTGGTTCGGGTTCTATGGGTGGTTCTGGGATGGGGGTGGTCATCTGCATGGAGGGATGCAAGGCACTTTTACCCTTCGTCCTATTTAATGATTTAACTGTTACTGTTAATTCTAAGTATATTAGGCTACACATCGAAATGTTCACAGTTGAACTTGTAAACCTAGGGTGCGTTTGTAAATTCACTCCAAGCACCCTCAGCATGTGATTTGTTTTTTTTATATGGTATGATTGTGGCGTGATGTATTAACTGATGTGTTTGGCAGATTGTGAAATCCACTTTTGTTTTGTGCCCTAAAAGTTGCAACATCGATGGCCAAATGGAATTCCCACCCTTGTCACCAATCAAATTTTTTTTTGAAGCGTGACATGATATGACCTTGGCTGTCAGGTGGCTTTCTACAGTTGTTTTTGGGGCTACCACGACAAAAAGTTTGAAATAAAAGAAAAATTAATGGTTTTATTTTATAGAAAATATGATTGGTGTTTAAATATACCATAATATGTCTGGATCATAGGGGTCTAATGGTAAATATTTTTTCAGGTTCCTTCTCAGCCCTGTCTCCTCCTGGCTCTCCACAACTCTCCTCAACCCTGTCCCCCGTGGGAAGTCCACAACTCTCCTCACCTGAGACACCCCGAACGTCCAACCCAATGCCCTCACCACGCACACCATGGCCTGTACATTTTAAGGTGAGGCGGGTCTTGGCGATTTCTAAAATATATTTCTATTCTACTCAATAGGGATGCACCAATGGCAAAATTCTGGGCCGATGCCGATGTTCAAAATAGCAATGTGGCCGATGGCCGATGGCAATGGCCGATGTTTGTTGTTTCTCAGATTATGTTATAAGATTGGGCTTCATTTGAGTCTGATGCTGAAATTGACTATAAATGCACCCGTAAAAGCTTATATCCTTGTATCCTCTCTTTTTTTTGCCATTTTCTGTTTGCATCCTTGAAGGTTAACTGGGAGAAGATGACGCCAGAGATTCAGTCAGCCATTGCAAATTCTACTAGACCGAATCCTGCTGCCAGAAGAGCGATGGTCAGAGAGCTTGTCGATCAAATGAGGGTGCACAATGCAAATCCAAATAGAGGGATCTGTTTGAAAGTTGTAAACGATATAATACAGAAGTACCCCACATGTTTTGGGGATGTGGATGATGATGAAAATACAGCTGGGGCATCGCTCGTCCAGCAAGTAAAAACCAGAATCGAGCATGTCAACCGAAACAACACATTGGCACGGTTAAGGAAGAATAAGCACAGCAATCGGCAGGCGAGGACAAATGGAAGAGGTCCCGTTGATCAATATGGATGTGTCCGATGGGCACCTCAAGAACTCCCCTCAGGGGAGACTGATGAAACCCTACAAGAGATGAAGACTCAGATGCAGCAGCTATATGCCCAGGTAGGAATAGTGGAAATTATATTTAGGCATCCTTAGACACAAACCTACATTTTATTTTTGAGTATTGATGCATCCAAATTTTGACTCCCCCGACCCCTAGGAAGGAATGTCAGGCATGGAGAGAGGAGCGCTTCAGAGATGGCTTCAGAGAACCTACATTCTCCAGCGTTGTGATCTCAATGCTGACCCTCCACACAGCGTCTCAAAAATTAAGGATGACTGGCCCTTTCTCTTCTCCTTGAAGGGCCTGTTCTCGCATTTCAGTGAACTGACCGGAATTCCAATCCAGGAGAAGCTGCCAGCTGCCATAGACAACAGGAGTCAGAACATCATAGAGTACTTCCAACAGCAGAAGACACCAGGAGTGGGGAAGGTTCTGGAAGCCTACGATGAAGAGAGTGGCAACAAAGCTATCTGCACCATTATGTGCCTGCTTGCTCACTTCAAGGAGGGGGATGGTATCTTCCTTACGGCTGATGTGAGTATAACTTGCAGTGCATATCCATAAATTAACCATTCCCTCACTCTCTCCCTCCCATCTCCGTCCTGCTATTTTGTAATTGTTAATTACCAGAAATCAGTCACCAGCCCCATCCTTTGCTATGGACACTTTGCACAAGTTATTCTAATATTATATAGACTCTGAACAGCCTGAGTATCAGACCAAAGCTAGCGCTTCAGTCTGACACCCGTCTCATTCAAAGCGTTTACAAAGTTGGAGGGCTTTAGATACCTTTTCAAAAGAAAACTTCCCATTTCCAAAACGTCGCCCCTTCTAAAAAAGCTCTCCATGCAGAATACTGTACTGGTTTCAGAGCAGTTATTCCAGTAAACCGTCTGTTTTTTACTAAAACTGCCTCAATCTATATTCTCCGTTCTCCGAGGCAGTCAGCGCACAGGCAGATATTGCTTGAAAATGGGCCCTGGGCTGATTGGTTCATCACGTTTAGTCCCGTCCACCCCCAGCGGTCATTGGGCTAACATTCTTCCGGTCTGGCTGTACTTGTTGCTCGGAATGGGGAATGCAGACCCGAGACGGAGCCTACTTAGCGAAGTGGGCTGAGTCCGTGGTCTGATCCAGGCTATACTCTGATGGGTTAGCCATTGCTTCCTGCCATATAGTTCATAAAATAATTTTAATTTACTGTTTTATTGACATGGCATCCATATTTAAAATAAATATTTGCCATGTGCAGTTGTTTCTAGATTTGGCACCATAAATTGAAGCTGATTTTCCCCTTGGTGTTGAGTAGAACATTACAGCTCTTGGGGCAAGTTTTCTTTGTCGTTGTTTACTCAACGTACTCATGGTTAACTTATGGTTTTTATTCTCCAGCCCTCTGCCACGGCTGCTGATATTGAGAGAGCTGTCAGTCTGCCAAGCACACCTCGATTAGTTGTACCAGGTATAATCTTCCCTTATTTTGTAGAAGTTAATTCTTTAATGAATTCATGTGGTTGAGGGAGGACTGTTGCGCCTAAAAAATGTCTTTCTTTGAGTTGTTGATGGAGGGTGCGGGGGTCAAAGGAGATAATGTTCAAGTGGAGGTGTGCGAGTCTTTCTCCACTTGAACATTAATGAATTCATGTAGGTGGCAATAGTGTGTTGTGCAGCTTTTAGTTATCATATTGTTAATGGGTTTCAGGAGAGATACTGCGCGGTGCAGATATGGGTTATGTCCATGGAAGGAGCATGTGTGATGGGGCCCCACAGCAACCTCCTGCATGGATTGGCAGCAGTCTTCGCTGCCTACTATGTCTTCAACTTGCAATATCCAGCAGAAGCCGCAAGCACACTTGAATTCATTCAGAGGTGAGTTTAAAAATGGCATTGTCATAAAAACGAGAAACTTAAATTAAGAAACACGTATTAAAATTAAGAAACTCGTATACAAAATGTGAGCGTACGAGTTTCTTAATTTGTGATTTGTAGAATAGGATTTGTGAACCTGCAATGAAGAATTTGAGAAGGTGTAACTGTTGTGTTTGTGGGAGAGACAAAAAAGTCTACAAGTTTGCAACTCTTAAAACATTTCTCTCTGAGACTTCAAATTTCTTCTTCAAATATACCTCCATAAGCAATGACTTGATATATGAAGGGAACTTTTCTGTAATTTACATTTTTTGTTAGAGTTTGGGATGTCAGTAAGTCACTTAATACAAATACAAAAGCATATTACTTCGCATTTTGAGTGATCAGATTTTACACATTGCTTTGCAGTTATAAGAAAAAAATCTAATTATGCTATCCAATTTAGTGAGAAGGGGACGAGCGAGGGGATGGGGAGATATGGTTGACGATCGCACACACAGACACTCACTCAATCTCTCACAGGCACATACTCAGGGGTTAAAGTATTCCGGCACCATGCCGGATCTCCGGCGTGACACAGTTGTGAAGAAATTTTCAGCAGGATAGATATTCGTAAAGGTTTATCATTTGAGTTCCCCAAAACCTATGGCAGCTCTCACACACAAAAAACGTGTTTAGCCAATCAGAAGCAGAGTAGGGTTGGACTTGTGTTTGCTAGCTATAACAATGTGCAGCTATCCAACAAGATGAAAGTTTTCTCTCACTCACAGATGCGTGATGTGCGAGTGCGTGGAAAAATAGAACCAATTCCTATTTTAAAGCACGCGTGTGCTGGGTCTGCGCTGTCCACGTTCCTGGTGTAGCCAGAATCGCTGACATGGGTTGAATCCACGAGTGCGTAGAATTCAGCGTAATACTCGCGTGTAGAGGCCCGCTGTAGCTCGGGTGTTAAAATCACAGTTTAGAGATCTTTCTATTTGTAAACAATGCTCATGAATTTAGACCTGAAAATAGACCTACCCCTCCACATCTAATAGTCTGCTCGTTTGGGAAATGGCTGAGGTAAATATGAAAGTAAATTGAATGAAAATAATATTAAAAAAATATACAGGCCTATATAAAATAGGAAAGCAGATTTTACTGATGCAAAGCTTTTAAAGGGAGATGCATCACGGTTTCAGCCCAATTTCTATCCGATGCACACCACTCCAACCGGTGCACTCGCATCGCAGACCCTTGCATCGATCGTGCCAAGCCACAGACACACACATACTCATATAGCCTACAGTGACTCTCAGTCTCACACACACAAGCACTCAGTCATTCATAAAGATCCCTTAATGTTTCATGTCATGGTTATGACCATGTCATATCTGTCTTAAATGTTACCTGATAAGTGTGTTTTTCCCCCCTGTTTTCAGAGCCTTTTGCGGCATAAATCCCCAGACGGGCAGCAAGGCAGAGAAAAGGCGAGGGCTGAATGCACCAGTTTGCACACTTTTGAGGAAACTGCTGGATTTTGAATTGGTGGGCAGGGGAAATTAGAGGACATTAGTGGGCAGGGGACATTGGGGACATTAGTATGTTTGACAACTCATGTTCAACCAGTTTGGTACACTAATACTTTGTGCATTGTGCACTCTGTTTTTTAAGAGAAAATAAAAATATATATAAAAAAAAAACAAAGTTTTTTGTTTTTCTTTGCAGAAGTCTGAAAGAGAACATTTATCCAAGTTACAACATTTAATTGTAATATTTACAATATTCTGTCCTGTGAAATTACAGGAAATTCCTGGCTACTGAGTTGCCGTAAATATAAAATTTTGCTGTAATATTTACAGTATTATATCCTGTGAAATTACAGAAAATCCCTAAAATTACAGGAAATTCCTGGCTACTGAGTTGCCGTAAATATAAAATTTTGCTGTAATATTTACAGTATTATATCCTGTGAAATTACAGGAAGTACAGTACCTTGTTGTAGTTATTTTACAATAACAGTCCTGTATACTGTTTACAGTAAATTTACGGCAACTATTAGCCAGGAATTTCCTGTAAAATTACAAGAAATTTCTAACAGTGCAGATTGTGAGCTTAACCTATGCAAGGTAGCGAAAACAACAAACAAATTCAAAATCATAACACAAAGAGAGCAGCACCCTTAGACCTATTGAAACGAACACAAAACAACTACGCAGATGTAGCGAAATCAGTTTGAAGCTGACCCTGTGCCCTATTTTCATGAACAAGATTAACATCAATTATCTCAAAACAACACACTGTGTCACAGTATTCTCAGACACCCTGACACAACGAGGCAAACCGATCAATGAAAATCACAGCTGCCTTGAGTGACAAGCACACACTCTATTTAGCTTCAGTCACTGTCAATGCCTTCACTCGATTGGAGGAATCCACCACCAGCCAAGCCAATCATCATCGAGCCCAGCCAGACAGCAGGAGGAGTCGAAGTCATCTGGTCCAATCCTCGGCAGGCAATCCTACAGCTCAGAACGTAGACGGCTACTAACACACAGGGGCCACAAGCGCCACTATGAGGTTCACTTTTATTTTTTTATTGTTTATTTTTTAGTGAAATGTCTCACCAACTATTGTGTGTACCAGTGTGATGTTGTACAGATAGTCATGGTGCCCAAAGGATGAATCCTTCTAGTGCAGGTCAAACCTTTCACTTATTCTGTAAAATATCTCAACATCCACTTGATGGATTGCCACTTTTGTACAGACATTCATGGTGCCTAGATAATGAATTCTAATGATATGAAAGTACAATATATTGTACCATGCCCCTCATTTATGCTTGTTGATGGCAATAACCAAAGGTCTGATCTGGTCGGACAAAATAATGGATTTATTTGTCTTTGTGCAGCATCATGCAAGTCTGTGTTGTGTAATGACGATTACAATGACAATAAAGCTTAACCTTTAACTTTATCGCCATCATCCCTCCCCTACTTTTAACATACAAAGCACCCTTACATAATGAACCATTATGTTTTTATTACCTTAGAATGAGACATTTTTATCTACATAACCGCAGGCACCCAGCTAAACTTTTACTGCCCTAGTAGGAAAAATCATGTAAGGTTACTTGGATTGGTTTATTCTCCAGTGCTGGCTTTGGCTTGTGGTGTAAAATATGTAGTTGGATTAATTTCATGTTGTTACTCTCTCTCCAGCGCTCTGTTTTGGCTTTGTCAGTTATGTTCCTCAGACAATCAGCTGATCACTAATTGGCAATAAAACCGTAGCTTACAGCTAGAAGCTCAGATCAGACAGTTAAACCTTTACTGACCTGGTAGAAAAAATATGTTGTTGGATTTGTTTTATGTAGTTAATCTCTCTTGAGGGCTCTGTTTTGGTTTTGTTACATGAACAGAAATGTGCCTTTACCTTCCTGAGAAAAACAGATGATGAATATTATTGGCAATAAAACGGTACCAGCAGCAAAGCTCAGATCAGCAGCTAAACTTCACATTTTACTGCACTGGTGGAAAACATGTATTTCTTTTTACTGCTAATGGTAATTGTGTAATATATATATATACACATACACACACACACACACACACACATATAAATAAAGACTATCAAGTGACTAATGAATACTTTCCAAATTTGCATAAAAAACATGGATATTACGTCCCACTGTGCACACAAATGTGTAATTTGTACTTTCACATGCTAAATGCCCATTAAAAACCATTTTACCACAAGCTGAAATTATGGCTGTCAGTAGTACTTTGTATGTGTTATATTTAAAAAAAAAAAAAAAAAAACATTTTGGTAATATTTGCATGCTTATCTAATTAAGCAAAGTGAGAGGAGCCTTGATTCTCACCTGCCTATGCCTTTGTAAACTTCATGTATTATGTGGTTTATAATGGACTGTGGTGCAGAAACAGTGAGGCTTACATTGTCCTGTTATCTGTTAGTGGTTGTTACATCCTCACGTGGCTCAAGCCCAGAGGTGGAGAGAGGAGTAACAATAAATGAAAACCGGGTCTAAAGAAACAGGATACAGATTATGTGCCAACAGATATTTATTAACAGAAGGTGGAGATATACCTTTTAACAAAAACACACAACTAGCAACTTAAATCAAAAACAAAACACCACATTTAACACCTTCCCTCTTCCAAGGGGAGTGTGTGACCCCACATCTCCGCTAGTCCCGAGCATACAACTCCACTCCTGCTGCACCCAAGCACGCAGCCATCTGACCCACTGGTCAGCAGCCACCTAAGCTGGTCCCCACAGGACCAGTCTCACACACTGGCCTCTCAAGACCATCCACATTGTCCTACTGCTGAACTCTCCTTGCTCTCTTATCCTCCAGGTACTGATTGGGGGATCAGGTGCAGCTGCTGCCCATTACTAATTGCAGCTGCACGGCAAGAAGGGGAAGGGCAGTACCTGGAGAAATACAGGAGAAATACACACCAAAACACAAGACCCACGGCTCTAGGGCCGTAACAGTGGTCATACTTGATGCACTAGATGTGATAGTTTTTGAGATGTTCTTCATTTACTTTGGTTAGTCCATATGAGCCAACCCTCCCAAGATGTAAAATACTGTATTACAGGAGTATGAGACATCATGTAGCACTTCATTTCTTGATGTGGCTGTTGTTTATTAATGAACAAATTACAATAAAATAAATAATAAAAAACATATGGTTTTACTGAATACTTAAGTAAATATAATTTTTAATATATCTATCTAAAGAAACCTCATTTCTTGACTGGCAACTCTCTGCTATCTCATAGATGACATCTTTGTCCTGTCTCAGGCACCGTAGCTATACTACTAGCTTGGATAGGGGAGGGGGAGTGCAATTCGCAACCCTTACCACTAGATGTCACTAAAACTTACACACCGAACCTTTAAAGAATGAGGAACACGCCAGGTTTACATGAGGTTACTGTTTATTATTGTAAATGCTAATGCATGTGCACAGAGTTTTCATTTATTTGGATTACTTAACTATAATACAGCTCTTTTATCAAGTCAGGGATGCAGAAGAGCTTGGTGAAATTGGTGTTACAGAAAATGAATCAAGATAACATTGTAAAATTTGCATTGCAACAATAAAACATTTTAAAGATGAGCAGGATAGGTACCCCAGCAAACACCATAACTTTGTAATACCTGTTCTAAATTGTCTGTAATGACAGCAAACATTTAAAAGTAACGCATAATATATGATGATAAAGGCATTGATAATATAATTAGAGATCGACCAATATGTTTTTTTCCTGGCCAATCCCAATTATTAGCAATTAATTAGACCGATGACCGATATTTGGAACCGATATACAGTTGCTGTAAAATTTTTAATCTTGGTGTCAAAATTTAGAATAACACAAACTCCAACAATAAACTTTGTTGAAAATAACAAGATTAAAGTTAATTGTCATGTTTTATCTTTATAAATAGCAAATAATATTTGTACCCTATGAGTGATAAATTATCATAAACTCAGGGATTAAAGTTCTCGGACTCTGTGCCGGAATTCCGGCTCGAGAAGTTTTTGTATTCGACAATATATAAATATGTCTGTGGGAAATATTCTTGCATATTTTTAAACTGGCGCATGTTATGTGTGTGTGCGTGTGAAGCGCCAGTCTTCCTCTGCGCTACTGGTGGCTGGTGTATACACGAAAGAAAGGGGACTGGCACTTCCTGGCTACGTGGACACTCATTGGCTATTGTGGGCCGTGGACAGAAGCATTTTTTGTTTACATGCTAGCTGTAGTTAGGCTAACATAAAGCTAAGCAATAGCAGTCCGTGTGTATTTATTGTTATAATAATGCGTTTTGGACTAAATATTTTATTGGATTGGATCGTCTGGACCTTTGCCAACGTAACAAGGCAATTTTTGTCAGAATATAATCCACTGGTGGAGTACAGCTTCACAGATAACTGGTGTCAATTTTGATAAGTGCTTGAAGTGGGCCATCGATACCAGTAAGTTACTTCTACATTTTACTCTTTGGCGTCCTCAGGTTTCTTCAACTTTCACTCAGGAGCAAAAATCAGCCTTATAATGATTTGACATCATAAGAATAATCGATATTGAATGATGTGACTACAAACAGAGAAAGGCAGCTGCATCAGAGCCAAAGGAGCCCATTTTTTTATTAATTAATTATCTCTGCTATCTGATTTTATAATGAGCGATGCATATTATTGGAAAAATGCTTAATATCTGCGCTGATAATCAGCCAGGCCGATTATTGATTGACCCCTAAGATTATCTCAAAATAATGAGATAATCTGTAAATGTAGATTTAAGGTTAACAGCCAACATACAATGATTCTCAGATTAAGTCTTCACTACTAAATGTCATATGCATATATACTAAAGAAATCTTAATCATAGCAAAAGTTAAAGTATATAAAATCTGACAAGGAACAAAAGTCATGCTGGCTATATAATCATTAAAAAATGTTAAGAGTGAAATGGTTTATGTCTTAAGAATCGCAGCTAAAAATTCCTGAAAGACACGCTGGAATGATTGTGGATGATCAGTGGTTTTCTGCTGTATGCAGGATTTTTATATAAAATGGATCTAAACATAGTTCAAAGACAAGCAAAAAGGCACAGTGAGCATTGCCACCGCTGCAGTAGACAGGATTACACAAAACCATTTTTCTTTCAGTTTTGCTTCTGTTTCTGCTTCTGTTTCTGCTTCTGCTTCTGTCTCTGCTTCTATCCTCAGCTCCATCTCTGGATAAAATGGCGTCTCCAGGACAGCTCTGTTTTTCTCTGACACCAGCAGACCTTTGCACAGGGAGTCATGGATCTTCTGCCACGAGTCTATCTCTGAGCTCCAAAGTGCAGCTCTGGCTCTGATGAACCTAGAGACTTCAGTCTCGCTGCCTTTGGCCAGACCAATGCTGTCTTTACAGATAAAGAAGATATCCAGGCCAAGGAAAAGAGCATTGGCTGCAATGAGACTGGCCCTGGCTGACTTGGAGAGGGCAAGGGACCCTTTGACTGCTGCCTGACCAATATCTGGAATATCTGAGGCCACTCTGGACACGTTACGTAAAGATTTACCTTCCTGGGCCGCCACCTTGCCAGCACTTGCAATCAGCTCTTCACTTTTCAACAACTTAGCAGCAGAATCCACATCTTCAAGCAAACGAATGGTGTTTTTCACAACACCTTTCGTGCCTATACCCACCTTGACTACTCCCACAGCAACATTGATCACACTTGGTTCTACATTGACTGTTTGACTGCTCACCTCCTCCAGACAATCCTGGAGAATCTGCACGTCCTCCATGAAGCTCTGGAAGACTTCACTGGCTTTCTTTTGATGTGCATAGTTTACACTGATTTCTGTCGCTGTGGTGACAGCGCTGTTGACCCCACTGGTAATTCCCAGTGCTGTCCCACCTATTAACAGACCTAGAGACACTCCAGCTGTCACTGGAATTAATGCCAAACCAACAATTGAAAGCACACCTCCAACTGCCCCCACAGAGCTGCCTGCCACACTAGAGATCTTTGCCCCCTTATTCATCCTGTCTAGCTGGACAGCATTCTCCTCCAGGTCTTTGAGAAACTGCAGCATCCTGGGCTGTCGCTTGCTGAACTCATTGATGAAGCCAGAACACGATTCCTCCTGAAACAAGAACACCATCCGGAAGTGCTGGTCCATCCTGATAGAGAGCAGAGACAAAATGAAAGCTCTGCTCATCAATACTTTTTATGTTAATTTATAAAATTCTTTGTGAAATGTAAAAATGGGGGATTCACCCTTTGGAGATTTTAAGCCTCTTTTAGCTATGTTTCTTATTTTTTAACAATCATCTTCGTGTTTTTGTATTATTAGGGCCCGCACAAGAAACGAGCGTGGACCCTATTGAAACTGAAGGAATATTAGTTTATTTTTTTGCAAATGATTCACATTTTTGACAACCTAAACCGACGTATTTTATTGCACGTTAAGCAGTTTTTATTTTATTATTAGTTAGAAAGTCCGTTGCTCACTGGCTCTGAATACACATACAGTCACAGGAGGGGCGGGATGTTGATCAGCCTGCACATCACCCACCCAAACAAGCAGTGGAGGGAGGCTTCAACAGACTACGCTGTCATCTTTTTACCATATTTTTCCACCCGCGATCCGTTATCACGGCAGCAGGTGATCCGCTTGCTTTTTAATGACGCAGCCTAACAAACAACTCAAACAGCCGAAACCAACATCTGCAGTTTTTAAGCGAGTGACCCCCGCTACACTACACTGTGCAATTAAACTACGTAAAATTTGTTTTGAGTTCTATGTGAATATATACTTACCTAATATTTTCAAGCTGATTAATGTGATGAAGCATCCTTTGCATGTCATCTACAGACGAATCCACATCGAGGTCTACCAGCGTTTCTGTTGTTATTCTCATGGAAATATCACTAAAAAGGGAACAATTACTTATAATATTTTGTATAAAGCACCATGGCATTTTCTACTGACATTATTTTAAATATTTTTTCTTTAAATGAATCATTTCCTTTAATGTTTTGTTTTTTAATTAATTATTTCATATTAGTGTGTGCAAATAATATAATAATAAGACCTAAATACCTTTTCTCAAGCTTGTCACAGATTTTCTGGGTGGTCTGAATGTATTTGTCCAGTTGGTAGGACAGCACTTCCACGTTCTGAAGTTTGGGACGGAAGAAGACACTTGCATCTCTTTTAAACTCGAGGAGCTGTGGGCAGATTAGCCGTGCACAACAGATGAGAACCTGAACCTGTTCACAGCTGATCCCTTGGGGCAGGTGTAACACCTGGTTCTCCTCCTTGAACACATGAAGCGAGGTGACCGCCAGCTTCTCCACTGCATCCAGGAAGCAGTCCAGCTTCTTCAGGCCTCCCAGAGTGTATGTTAGTACAGAAGTCAAATCTTGTAGTTCAATTTTTTCCTTAATCTTTTTCAACTCTGTCATCCTTGCTTTCGTCCACTGAGGGAGGTCCCAACAGAATTCTTTAACTTTGTTAATGTAGCTGATCGTATCTGTGGTGTAGTGGCACAAGGCCTCCTGTAGTTCCTTCCTGTAACACAAATCAAAATTGTCTGTAGATTAATCTCTGTCTAGGCAGTGACACATCATAACAAACGAAAATGATGTTCTTCCTTCTTTTATTGGTGAGTCAGTCTAAAATTACCAGTAACATCATATCCTAGAAATTGCTTCAAATTCTCATGTAAAAAAACCTTTTTATTTTATTTTACAAAAGGTGGCAAACAAACCATTGAAACAAAAACAAAACAGGGTAGAATTATTAGAATAACATATGAAAGAAAATAAATGAAATACAATAAACTTGCAGTGAAATCAGTAGTGGATGTACACAAATCCTGTACTTGAGTAAATATAGCCTACAGATACCCTTGTTAAATATTACTCCAGTAAAAGTTGAAGTCTCAATTTAAATTTCTACTTGAGTCAAAATACAAAGTACCTTCTTTAAAAATATTTAAAAGTATCAAATGTAAAAAGTACATTAGGATAGTAACCGTTGCTACGGTGTGATATTTGCCACGCCCCCCCTCCACTGTGATTGGCCAGCTGAGCAAAAAGTGACAGTGACGAGCGCAGCGTTTTTCCCAAAGTTGAACATTTTTCAACTCTGGGAGACCAGAAAAAACGCTCAGCGTCTCATCACGCTGCTTGCGTTTTTACCAGCTTGTAAAAACGGCGCTCTCATTGCAATGAATTGAAAAAAGATGCTGGTGTCAGAAAAAAACGCTTTGGTGGACAGGGGCCCTAATTGTTCAATATATTGATATAAAACTCAACTTGTGAAGCTGCAGCAGCATGCAATAGTTTACAACAGTTTTTTCACAGCTTGCGCAGCATGATAAAGATGTTGTTCTGTTGCACTTGAAGCCAGAGCCGTTAAATAAGAGTGTTCTCGAGTTTTTCCTTGCAGTATTTGTTACTCAAAAATATGACTAAAAAGAAAAAAGTTTTTAAACAAAAAGGTAAAAGTAAAATGACAGATTTAAGAAAACTAGGCAACTTAAAAGTAAAAGTAGGCTACAAGTACACAAAAAACTACTAAATTACAGTAACGTGAGTAATAATTCATAACTTTCCACCTCTGGTCCTGTTTCTACTTCACTATTGATAACATGTTCAATTACAGTCTAATAATAGCCTATTAATAATGGTACTATAATTCGAGAAATATTTGTAGCAAGATCAGGGTCAAGACAAAGTCACAACTCATTCCAAAGATTCCAAATGTTTACCTCAATGCAGACATGTTTCCTCTCTCCTCTTGGTATGCCTCCTATAACAGCCTTGTTAAAATTTTAATAAAAAGAATAGAAGTCTGATCCTTTACGATGTAGGCTATCTGCAACTCTGTTAAATCTGCTAAAATCACCAAATCACCACTTGGTGAGCAATTTTGTAAACAAATCTAACTTTTCGACACACGGCTCTGCGACAGTTTAGGTTTCACTTTCTCTAACTCAGTGGAGTGGAGCAGTTCACCCAGTGACGGTTGTATAAGTGCGGTTAGCTCACCTCTGATGGCTCGATTTTAACCAAGGGGGGTTAGCTTAGGGACCATCAATAAATTACAATTGTGAAAACAGTGTTATGGGAAAATCATTATTTATTTCAATAGATTCATGTGACGCAGGGACTTCAAACAAATGCCGAATTGTAGTACTGCACTAGCCAAATGAGACACACCGCTTCATATTTGATTTGAATGCATATTCGACTTTATATTCATATTTATTCATAATTTATTGAAAAAAGTGCTGTTTTTTCAATAGCTTCCAAGTCATGTGACGCAGAGAAATACATGCAAGGTGCCAACTGCTGATGAGAAAGACACTAAAGAAAGACACTCGGTCCTTAACCGTTAAGTTCACGGCTCCTGCAGTCAGGTAACTGAGCCGCCGAATGCGAAACGCGGTCAAGCCAGCCGCCGTCTGATTTTTGTTGCGCCTAAAGCAGTGTTTTTATTATAAGGACGAGGTGCGAGTGAGCCGAAGGTCCTGAAAGATACATACGCGTTTTTTTCTGATGCTCTTAGTGATTATATGAACACAAATACATAGTTGGTACAGTAAAATGTTAGAACATGTGTACCAATGATACTAGAGGACACTAGGAAGGAGATAATATGACAACTGTGATGTCACCGTAACTACAGTCCCCTCCAAAAGGCAAATTCCTTTGTTTTTGTTGTTCACTGAAGACATTTGGGTTTAAGATGAGGTATGAGACAAGAGTTCAGAATTTCATCTTTTATTTCCTGGTATTCACGTCTAGATGTGTTAAACAACTTAGGACATATCACCGTTTTATATTTAATATTTGGTTACATAACCTTTGCTTGTAATAACTGCCTCTAGCCTGCGACCCATCAGAATCACCAAACTGTTGCATTCTTCATTTGTGAAGCTATTCCAGGCTTTTACCGCAGCTTCTTTCAGTTCTTGTTTGTTTCGGGGTGTTTCTCCTTTCAGTCTCCTCTTAAGGAGGTGAAATGCATTTTCTATTGGGTTCAGGTCAGCTGATTGACTTGGCCAGTCTAAAACCTTCCGCTTTTTCCCCCTGATGAAGTCCTGTGTTTTGTTGGCAGTGTGCTTTGGCTCATTGTCCTGCTGCATGATAAACTTCCTCCCGATTAGTTTCAATGCATTTCTCCGTAAATTGGCAGACAAAATGTTTCTGTCCACTTCTGAATTCATTCTGCTGCGACCATCATCAGTTACATCATCAATAATTATTAATGAGCCTGTTCCAGGAGCAGCCATGCAGGCCCAAGCCATGACATCACCTCCACCAGGCTTCACAGATGAGCTTGTATGCTTCGGATCATAAGCAGTTCCTTTCTTTCTCCATCACTTTGGCAGAGATTAATCTTGGTCTCATCAGTCCATAAGATTGTGTTTCACAACTTTTGCGGCTCATCTCTGTACTTCTTTGCAAATTTCAATCTGGACTTCC